TAATCCAGAAGGGGTAGCCATGTTTGTAGCAAAAAAACGAGGAGTCTTATGGCACCTTAGAGACTAACAAGTTTTTATTCCAACACAAGCTTTTGTGGACTAGAGCCCACTTTGTCAGATGCATGTACTGGGTCTTACTAAGAAGGCACAGGCACACACATAGAAAAGTTAACAGCAGTATCAATCTCAGCTCCATATTTGTTACTATCTCTCAAGGGATTAAGAACAACCTAGGGTTCCTTAGCTATACTGGTGTCCAGAAACTTAGCAAAAACTAAGGAAATAGTATTACAAATCACTACTATTATGAATAGCATCTGTACTTTTCTTGATATTTGAATTTTACATAATTACAACCTGTATTTACTGCTTTTTCTGAACCTTATTTTTGCCTAATATATGTGTTGTTCTTACGCTAGGCAATATGTGAAAATTAGGGTGAGGTAATTTTGCATATGATTACACTGTTAATGAAACTCAGATTAAAATTTTAAAATGGATTAAACAATTTTAATCTCAAGATTGTTATAAGAAAAGGAATTGTTAGTTTGGTACAGTTCCCCAGAAATAAACTTAATACTCTGAAACATCTTGAATGCTGTTGGATTGTATTTGGTGGGTGTAAGGGATTTAGAAGGAATATATATATCTAAAATAATTTGTAAATTCCGAGACCTGTTAAGGCCATGTTATGGAAGAAACAAGTGTAAATACATTGATTTGTATTCAGCTTGCTGCTGCACCAAGTAAAAGTATTACAGTACTGTAACTAAATAACTAAATAAAAAACAGCATATATGTTAATTTTGAAGAAAGATTTATACTGAAGGGAGATAAATAAAAAGCAAAAAATTGAAAGTATATAGGGTAAATTAGCACTAAAGTGCATATTTACTCCGGACTCGGAACATATTTATTGAGATCAAGTACATATTTACTCAGGAGCAAGGATCAGTGAGTTCATTCAGGTGTATAGATTGTATAGATTTGAGCACTAAATATCTTTTTTTTAATGAAAATAATGTGCACACGGACTGAATAAACATGGTGTGGCAGAGGACCATACATGGCATGCTAAGGTACTGTTGGGGATTTCATACACCTAGCAAATATAGGTTGGATCTTACTGCTCTGTTCAGCTTGGTGCAAGAAACCTTCCTTCAGGGGAAGAACTCTTTGTTCTGGAGAAAGGCTCCTCACTTAGTTGAGCACAGAATCCAACCACATCAATAAGGGGAGAGGAGATTAAGAGGTGTGCGCAGGTTTTCAGCTACGTAGTTATTTGACACACGAGGGCCACAGAAATTTAATTTCAAAATGTATCCAAATACTTTAAAAGACAAAGGGGAGGGGGAGGCAAAACTCAACCCGGAATATACTGAAGATGGTACATGGGTAAAGCTACAACAGATAAAGTATAATCAAAATAAATATTATGTGGTGTACACAATAGTAAAAGAGCCAGTTTGGTGTATTGATTAGGAGCGCAGACTCTAATGTGGGAGAACCAGGTTTGATTTCCCACTCCTCCATATGCAGCTGCTGGTGTGACCTTGGGTCAGTTACAAGTTATTTCAGAGCTCTCTCAGCCCCACCTACCTCACAGGGTGTCTGTTGTGGGGAGGGGAAGGGAAAGGAGATTGTAAGCCGTTCTGAGACTCCTTTTGGTAGTGAAGGGTGGGGTATAATTCCAATCTCCTCCGCTTGTTCTACTACTACTTCTACTTTTACTACTACTACTACTTCTTTTCTTTTACTACTACTACTAAAATTAAAACCATAGGGCCCGAATGACAGGCTGCAGTAAGAATTAGAGCAATTTTTAGATAAGCAGTAATGTTTTTCAAACACAATTGAGGAACATGTCAAATGACCAACACAAGACCATACGTGTTTCGGCCAGGGGACAGGCAGGCCACTCTGGCATCATGTGACCCATGCCACTCCTGACAAAGGGGTGATTTTATGTGCCTGAATGAGGCAGATGTGTATGGGGGGGGAGGTGCTCATGTGGAGCCAACTGCCACCGCCTCCGAGTCCAGCTTCTGTTCACAGCTCAGCCACCAGCAGCCCCCCACACGTAGCTCAGTCGTCAATGCAAGGGCTCTGTCTTCCCCCAGGAAGGTGGCTCTGGCAAGAGGGATTGCTTTGCTGCCTTCCGAGAGGCAAGCCAAGCCCATGGCTCTCTCCCCCTCGCTTGCTCCCATTCCTGCAATTCTTGTCGAGGGCTTCTCCTTCTTTCTCTGTCTGACTTCCACAATCATGATGGGAAGTCGGAGAATTTCAGGCAGTGTGCGTGCTGGGCAATTTTGGGGGGAACAGGAAAGTCTCTTCTGGTGAAGAATGGGGTCCAGGACTTGGTGGAAAGGAGGCTTTGAGCACTCGCCTTCCCTTCTCATGAACTAAACCCCCCAGCCTGCAGAACGGAGAGTGCACCCGTCAGCTCATGGTCCATTTAATGTTGCAGACTGCATGAACCAATGGTAATAAAATCAAATGTAATTTAATTAACCTCAATCAAATGAACTTTAATTAAGTGAACTGCACCCTAAGGAATTTAAATGCCCCCAGTGAAAAAAGTCTGAGCCTGGTTTTGACCTCAAGGGCCTTTTTCAGTGGTCAATAATGCGCACTTTTACAAAAAAACCCAAATCTACACATCCAGGAACTGCAACTGATGCACAGCCTTCAGGGGAGATATATGGGCTATGCAGCAAAGTGGAAGCACATGCACATTTTCTGTGCAAAAAGTAGATTGGGTTGGATCCAGACTGCCAAAAGGGAGATGCCACCTGCAACCAGAACACTTGATAGAGTTCCAAGGTCTTCAAATGTCCCAGTCTTCATTTCACATCATATAAATCCTGAAAGTAGCTGATCCTGTTTAATGGTACGAAGCTATTCTTAAACTGAGCATAAACATCATTCTTTTTGAGCTAAGCAGGTGTTTGAAGGATCAGCTCTCTCCCTAGTGTGCAGTTGCCATTTTTATAACCGTTTTTCGCCCTTTCCTGCAGTCTGGCATCACCACTAGTGGAATATTTTCATTAACACTCTGGTGCTTCCCCTACCCACCACTTTAATTCCCCATGTAGTGACGTACAACTTCAGACCTAACAGGCACAGGTTTGACTGTCTCTTCAGTAAAAGCTATACTAAGTGAAAATCATTATAACACCTAAACATGTTATGTACTATTCTTCTAAATAAGATGGTCTAGTGAAAGAGATACCAGCAAACACAGTGGCTCTTATCCAGTGAGCAGGATAATGGATACAGAATAGGACTCCTGCCTCAACCCTCTTGCTGCAGCCTGTCAAGCTCTGTGAAATTCTGCTCCTTGAAATCAGGGGACCTGCCCAAACAGGAGGGAGTAGCAAAGCTGACGTTCATAATAGTACAAGAGAATTATTGAAATGCTCTAAATCCCCCCCCAAAGGGTACTTCCATCATGGAAAACAATGGGAAGATACAAACTAGTATGTCAGTGTCACGTCCTATTGATTTTTTTAAAAAAAATGCTTTCCTTCTGGTACAACTGAAGAGAAAAGAGATAAGTATAGAATTTTTTTTGCAGTGTTAGTGCTATGTTCTGTATGAAGAACTGTATATTGCTGCATAAAGCATCATAGAAATTGTTCCAGAAAATGTTGATTGAGCAAACTTTACTTATTTAAACTTATTTTTGTACTGCCTGTCTCTCTCTTTCTCAAAGGACTGGAGATAGATTACAGTAAAAACAAAAAACATACCACAAAATTTAAAACATGTGAACCAGGCTGAAAAGCATATTAAAAATACAGGTGAAGATTTTAAGACCAAACTAATTGATCTAACTAATTTAAACAAGCCCTTTTCAATCAATCTTGCAGCAGTATCAGAAGCCCGTTAAAGTAGGGGCCTTCCTTACACCTTCCAGAAGACAATTCCGCGGTACCACTGCTGCCACTGGGGAGCCAAAGTCCAGATAAGCCTGCAGGTTAGAAATAATAGTAGGCCTTGATTGGCAGAGTGCGACTCTTGTGGGGAAGAGGTGGTCTTCGATAAAGACCCCAGGCCATGAACAGCTCAGATATTCATTGTATTTATTAATGCCCCAGTAACTGATAAGTTGCTTTTTTGTCTGCTTTTGAAAGGCATTGTTTAGAAGAAGAAGAGGTTGGATTTATACCACACCCTTCACTACCTGAAGGAGTCTCAGAGTGGTTTATAATCCCTCCCCCTCCCCACAACTGAAACCCTGTGAGGTAGGTGGGGCTGAGAGAGCTCTTTCCAGAACTGCCCTTGAACTTATGACTGACCCAAGGTCACACCAGCAGCTGCATGTGGAGGAGTGGGGAATCAAACCCAGTTGTCCCAGAGTCAGTGCTCTTAACCACTACAGCAAACTGGCTCTCCATTTTGGTGCTCCAAGCATCTCCTTTGACAGGTCACCATGAATGCCACTTTGGGCTATTGTTCTTGGGCTCCAACCTCACCCTGTCTCTGGTAGAACAGTCCTGGAATGTTTCAGTCCCAATACATAACAGTATTAATCTGGATTCAAGCCAGGGCTTAAACAGAGATAATGCAGTTATCAGTTGCTGAACATAACTAGGGACATTATGCTGTCACCAGTTGCAGCTTTTGTGAAAGAGCACAATGCTTATCTTGCATGCTTTTGAATTTTGCATGAAAACGTTACAGAAGATAGCACCTGTATTTATTGGCCTTTTAACCCAACTGTTTAAAAATTTTTCTCAGTGTCTGCTAAGGATTCACTTCATGGATCCGATGAAGTGTAGACTGTCATCTATGAAAGTTTACTCTGTAATCTGTTAGAGTTTGAGGTGCCAGAAGAATCTTTGTTTGTTTGTTTTGTTTTGCTGCAGTAGACTAACACACTTAATACAATGAACTTTACAATTGTTAACTGATATTCAAATTTGATTGTATTTCTTGCTTTTACTTCAGCTCTCCCATTAACTTAGTACTCATTGGGTTTAATACTATTTTTTCAGCTGGGAAGGGGTATCCTTGCAATACCTGTAACATAGTACTGAACTCTATAGAGCAATACCAGGCTCACATCAGCGGTTTCAAACACAGGAATCAGTAAGTGTTTAAATGTTCTGCTGTCTGTAGTAGTTCATTATGTAAACTGTCTTTGCAGGGAAATCACTGTTCCCATATCTGACTTGCAATAGAGATTTTTGCAAATTTATTCTCTTGGCTTACCTCTGGTAAGTTCTGTGGGATGCTAAGACAAGCTGTTTGCTAATAATGAATCAGAGTAATAATGATTTAGTAAACAGATAAACTTTATGAGCCAGATGACACACTGTAGCATTTTCCAATGATGTCTTCTGGTCTGGATTCATTTCAGCTGTCCTGCAGCAAGAAAATTTAATTAGCTCTTCTTTGGGGTGGATTCTGTCACACAGATGTGCTTCAGCCTTCTTGGGTCCACTGCCACTCTGGCCATGATCAACAAGTTCCTGAGTTATTGCTATCTTATTTAGAAAACATTTTCAATTTGGACAAATTTGTCCTGGAACTGATAGGAATTCTCAGTCTGGGGCAAGTGATGCCCTGTATTCTTAGTGCTTGGGGGGGGGGGGGCAACAGTGGGAGGGCTTCTAATGTCCTGGCCCCACTGGTGGACCTCCTGATGTCACCTGGGTTTTTTTGGCCACTGTGTGACAGAGTGCTCAACTGGATAGACCATTGGCCTGATCCAACATTGGCTTATCTTATGTTCTTAAAATGCCATAAATGTGGACCATTGTAATAGTGCCAAATTGCTATGAACATTCTAAATCCATAGAAGAAAATCTTTCACAAAGAACATGCTGCCCTATGTTGTGTGACTGGTAGTCTCTGGGACTGGTGGAATGCAAGGGAAAAACTAGTTCAAGTCTAACTTTTATCATAAAGACTCATTTCTGCATCTGTTTTAGTGAATGCCATGGAACCATCACTGAGCATGATGATTTTCAGGGTGTAGAATAAAGGAAATGTTAATAAAGGCGTAATATGAAGAATGAGCAGTTGAAGCTTTTCATGGTATGGAGCCACATAACATCACCTGATAATTTCTGCAGATCAAACTGATATTAAAAGAACAGCTAAAGGGGCCAGTTTTAAACTGACAGCCCTCATGCATACCACAGCATTATATTACCAAGTGCAATCCTATTTACTTAGCAGAAAACCCCACCTCTGGTTCATTATGCAAATTATACTATAATGAGTACATCTGCAGATGAGCCCACTTCATTGCTTACAACTGTAGTCGTTGCTGGACTCCTGTCCCAACCAAGCACCATGTAAGCATGAAAGGTGTCCATCGTGATGCTTGGAGGTGGGATTTTTCAAAACCTAGAATGTTGCAGATTTGTTGATCAAAGCAAAGCTTAGAATTTCTTAGTGGATAAGTGTTCACTTCCTATATATTGTGAAATTATCAGTTCTCATACTTACTTCTTCTCAAATTACAGGATACCAGGAGCAGTACCCATTACAGGACGGTACCAAAAGCAGCAGTACACACGAGAGGAGACAGCAGGCCCTGATGGCTACAGCTACTTTAGCCAAGACCTCTAGAGCAAGATCCATTGGATTTGGATTGCAAATGGCCCAAATGTGAACATCTTTTATCAGCCCACTGTGGTTTTGTTGTTCCTCTGGCTATAAGAAATCCTCCTGTCCTGCAGTGCACAGGTTTAGCTGATTTCAGAACTAACAGTTGGCTAAAGGATCTAGAAGGGACAGATCTACCAGTTGGCATTCGCTCAGTCCTTTAGAATAGTTTTCATTGTGTAATCTCTTGCAGAAATGGCTGAGATGGGGGCGGGTCTTGTGTCTGGCATGAGTGTCTGCCAGTGTTCTCTCAAGCCCATCCTTTTCTTCTGCTCAGAAGACTCAGAGGGAAGTTCTCCACCCAGTACCAGCCAGAGAAGATTGACCTTTGGAAGAACGTTTAAGGTTTCGGGTAACAGAGTGCTTAAGTATGAGGTGTGGTATTGGGCATAATTGGACAGACTGGCTATCCTTCACTCTCCTAGAAAGGAGTAATATCTTTGTGTTTGTCTTGCCCTTTCTTTGGTTGGGTTTGTGTGCAGAGTTTCTTAGGTCATTGATTGCCATTCGCTTCTTTTTTGTAGTTCTGCAGATGCTGGTTCTGGAGCATCTGATGATCTGTTCAGTAAAGCTGGTTCGGTTAATAGTATGCATAATCTGCTTCAAAAAGGCAAAGAACAGGACAGGGGCCTGCTGAAGTGGCTAGGTGTGTTTCCAGAAATGTGTTCTCTTTTCAGTTCCTGATACTTTTATGGAAGCTGTAACATTTTTAACCTAGCTGTGCAAAAATTTCCATTGTGTTAAAATGTTTATCGGAATTTTTTTTTAATGTAACAAAGGCTTTTAAAAATTGTTCGTTCTTAAAATTTTAAAGCGTTTGAGCAAACTTGCACAAAATGATAGTAAGACTGAGAGAAGCAAACAGTCATCATTGTGGTTTGAAACTCTTAAGGTAAAATTTGTGGAGTGCTCTTTCCCATTTACTGAGGGAATACTTCATCCTCTTTCTAAGTTACAGAAGAGAGCTTTGCATAGCAGTGTGGGACTTTCACTTCTGAAATTTCTAAGTCAGATAACCACTTCCCAAGGCTTGGATTGTGGATGCTATGTTTTGGAAGGCCTTTATATGTCATCTTCTTTAGTTCTGTGTATGTAAACTGTTTTCTTCAGTCAAATGTCTGTTTTCCAGGGGATCCCTTACATTTCTTTCTGATAGTTTCCTGAGGCTCAGAAAGGAATGTAGGTAGCAGCAAGGAATACTGCTAAATTGGCTACTTGATTTGCTAGGAAAGGAGGTGAAATTAATTTGGGTATAGATTCCTTCCTTTCGCCTTGCATGTGTTACAAGGAGAAGGTGGTAAGCTTGGAGTTTGCTAACACTCAAGTTTATATGAAATCTGACAGTGGCATGTGTCCAGAACAATCAATTAAAAATTTTAATCTAATTTTTCTGAAAGACAAATACCATAAAAATCAGAGGACTGTGACAGATATCCTTCTCTTAGCTGGCCCATGTCTGAACAGCTTTTCTGCTCCTGTCTGAAACTGACACTGTTGCTCTTTCTTATTTGGTTCTCTTCCTATCTGTTTCACAGTTAAACATCAAAACAGGAATTATTTGAAATTAATATTCTTGTGTCTTGATTGATTAAAGCTTTGCTGCCTGTCTTTAGAGCTCCCTGTTTTCCAGCTAGTTTAAGGTTTGAGTCCTGGTAACTACCAAGAAACCCATATTCTCTTTAGATGGTCTTCTCATTCTTATAATTAAAAGTATTGTATGGTATCTCCTATTCTCTACAATATTCCTGATCTCATCTCCTTGCTATATGGCAAGGGCATTTACAAAACCAGGGATGGCTTGTCATTCCCTTTCTGCAGTGATGGGAGGTAGGTAGTGGCTGGCACCTTTGCCTCTTCTGCCCACCTCTGCATCTCCTTCTGGAGTAGTGCACAGATGGAAATGTATGAATATTGCTATCTGTATATTAACATAGCTTCTCTAATATGTGTGTGTGCATATTCCCTCTGTAGCACCATAACAAAGTTTAAAAGAGGGTGTTTGGCTCATTGCTTTTCCAGCAGTATACTGTGTTAGTCAGGGTGAGTTCCAGGTCAGATCAAACCAGCAGTTCATTTTCTTGTATTCCCTGTCTTTTAGGACAATTCACTGCTACTGGCAGATCATTCCAGGTAAGCAGTCCTGCTCATAATAAAAACTTTACTTTCACCATTGCCAGGTTTTTGTGTATAAGATGTTCTCCCTCTGAAGAGCTCAGACTGAGCGGAGGGGTGGGTGTCAGGGAAGGGGCAGCTTCAAATTGGGTTGGGGGGGATGGGGGACAAGGCTTGAATTTGCCACTGGGCTTCTGTTTTGTTTTGGATTTGCATGACCTGTTTCCAGTGGATTGGGAAGTGCTTATTCTGCAGTGCCCCAAAATAGTTTCATATCTTTAGCACCAGTCAAACACCAAGATTGAAGTTGGGGAGGCTGTAAAATAACCTTTTCACATAAGCTTTTATTCTGACAACCTCTATGGTAAGCCCTGCATACATGCTATGCAGCTTTTCTGTAAATAATAGATGGGACAGATAATGTGTCTTCTGACATACCAGTAGCTATGTGTGCATAAGCCTTGTTTTTAAGCTTCAACTTTCTCAGCAATTAATATTTCTATTTTAGCATCTTCCAGTGTCTTGTGTTGTATGTGCAGTTTGGCCTCTGACATGCCAATGAGCATTTGCAATCTGCAGAGTAGAGACTTGGACACAGTGATTGGCTCTGTGAAACCCAGACTTTAGAATTTAGTTTCTACTGTATATTGAGTTTTATTTCAGTCGCTAACACCTGATATTTTTGGCAAGTGCAAAGCTGAGTGTCTTGTTGCAGTGTTAACATGATCAAAATGCTGGCTAAGCCTGACATAAGAAGGGTCATGACAAATTCATAAATTTTCTATCACCTGTTTTTATTTATATATAAATATAAATAAATGCCAGGCACCCTCTTCCTTATTTTAGAGATTAAAGTGTTGTTTTTTATTCATAGCCAAGGTAGGTGTTCTGTTTTTGATTATGTGGGTAATTGCTTCCCTCTGGATCTGAATTCTGCACGTGGAACAAATAATATAAAATCATAAATGGCATAGTTTGATAGCAGTACTTTTTTTCTGCAGAACGTAAGAGTATTTCTGAAAGGGGTCCTTGGAGTCATGAGTTTGGGGAAAGGACTGTGGATTGGAGGGATATGGTCAACATATTCAACTTTTGACCACAACTTTAGGAGCTAGAACCTTGATTTACACACTTGTGTACAAACACAGACATTCTCAAAAATGCAAAATCCTCTGATGTGTCACTATTGTATGATACTCAGGTGTACATTGGGAAGAGTAGGACCCCATTTTATTCATTTGGATTTTTATTCTGAGCATGGTTTACAACACAGTGTCAGGAGCAGTGTTCCCTCTAAGCTGAGTTAGTGTGAGCTGGCTCACAGTTTTTTAGCCTACAGCTCACAGATTTTTGTCTTAGCTCAGGGAGAATGGCTCCAGAGCAAACTAATTTATGCAGTAGCCAAATCACTCACTCACAACTTTAATGCCAGTAGCTCAAAAAGTAGAATTTTGCTCACAGGACACTACAGCTTAGAGGGAGCATTGGTCAGGGGGTGCTGCCCACAGCCTTCCTTGATGGCCGCTGCATCAGGGAGGAGCAAACCCCACAGTTCCTGTAATTCGCTTTATGTGGGCTTGCCCTTGAGGTTGATTCGGAAACTCGAGCTAGTGTAAAATGCGGCGGCACACCTGCTGACTTCGTTGCCTTTGCGGGCATGCATGCAGCTGGTGCTCGTCAATTGCACTGGCTACCGATTGAATACCAGCTCTGCTTCAAGGTGTTGGTACTGACCTTTAAAACCCTGTGTGGCCAGGGACCAACATATCTGAGGGACCACCTTTCCTCATATGTGCTCCAGAGAGCTTTGCACTCGGCAGACCAACATCTGCTGGTTATCCCTGGCCCAAAGGACATCCGCTTAGCATTTCTGCCCTGGCCCCAACCTGATGGAACATGCTCCCACCTGAGATCAGGGCCCTGTGGGGGACCTATTACAGTTCTGCAGAGCCTGTAAAATGGAGCTGTTCCGCCAGTCCATTTATTCCATCTATTGGCCTCCCTTGCTGAAGCTTGCTGAAGCTTTCCATCCAATACGGCCCATCTAAGAAGATCTTATAGTCTGGTTTATGGCCCAGCTGTTCCAATTCTGAGAACATTGTATTTGTAAATTACAGTGCCATCTGTTCTCAACTCATATTCTTTAACTGTTTTAATTATTTATTTCTTATATTGTTTTAATTGTTATTTCGAATTGCTGTTGTAATCCGCCCTGAGCCTGCTTGCGGGGAGGGCAGAATATAAATTTGAAGAAATAAATAAATTCCTGTCAGAACTGTATGGGACAACCCAGTCCCCTAAGGGCTCCTTTCTTACCATCGCAAACCTACAGGGAAGGAGGGGCAGGTAGTGGGACTTTTACTGCTACCGCTGCCTTACAGCTGGCCAGTGGGTTGGAGGAGAAGCCAGCTTGCAGATGAGACGGGCAGCCGTCATGCCCTTTCCCTCATTAAAAGCCCTGACCAGACAGCTGTTTGGCAAAGCAGGCGCAGAGAGGGAGGAGTGTGCTCCAGTCACATCTGACCACACCCTTTCCTCATCAGGGTACAATGAAGGGAGTGAGATGAGGACTCTAGGTTCAGTGTGACAGAAATGGAAGCGAACTACTCCCCATCAGAGAGCAGCCTATCTCACGCAATGATGGTAGAATGTGAGGCAAATGCCACAGTCTTTAAAAGCAGGGATAGAGAGGCTGATAGCATGCTGGTAACTCACTCTTGAAGCAAGGGCAGAGAGAGGCTGAGGGAATTCAAGAGAACTTAAGGTGATGTTAACCTCACCTCCAGGGCCTGGGGTTGCCATAGTGGGTGTGTCAGAGTGGCAGGATGGAGGGGCATTTGGGTCCCATTAGAATTAATGCACAGTTAAAATTAAAATCACAGTGACATCACCAAGTGATAACCACAAACAGCCTGCTAGTGCAGTATTTGTAGATTGTGTGGCTGAGGCACTACTTTGCCTCTACAAAAGATACAAGAGGGTCTGTCTTTGAGAAGCTTCACTGATCCATGTGCAATATTGGACTGTCTTGCTGTACTTTTCAGCAGAAGAGATAATATTTTTTATAAATAGCATTTTTATTGAGTGTTATATATTTTTACATCCTGTATTACTTGTTAGTTGTATACAGTATCTTTCAACAACATCTAATAAACAAGAAGAGAAATGTTATCCATACGCACAATACTTGTTAATAAAACACAAAGTCTCTATATTTCTGAGGTAGTGCATATAATCGGGGTTGACAAGCAGTAAGATATTCAAAAAACACAAACCATTTTTCCAAAAAATTATTAACACCTTTCGGGTTGTCAAAAGCTATTAATTGCATAGCAATTTTATTTGAAACTATCAAGTCCCACAGTTTAGATCTCCATTGTGACAGATTTGGTAC